TCTTGAAATCCACCTGCTTCATTATCTCTAATCCCCTTCCTCAGTACTGCAGCAGCCTCCTAATTGGTCTGCCAGCTTCCAGTCTTGGTCTCTTACTTTAAGAAATGGTGATTAGATTATGCCACTTCCCTACTTAAAGCCATCCAGTGCCTTCTCATTGCTCCTTAAAATAAAATCCAAGGTCCTCACCATGGCCAGCAAGGTGGTTGTGGCTGTCCCTTCTCCTCCTTACCCCGGACCACTCTCCCCTACCTCCTTCCCCACTGGCCCTCTCTCTGCCTTGCGCCCACTGCCCTGAACACCCCAATGCTGGCACTGGCTCATTCTCGCTCTGGCCTCAGCTTGATGCTACCCTCTTGGAGGGCGCCACTCTAAGCACCTGCATAAAGGAGCTGTCTCCCTCTCCTACATCAGTGATGACATCACTTTGTACCCTTCCTTCTATTCATGGCAAACTGCAGTTCTCTTGCTTATTCATTTGTAACTTGAATGTAGGTTTCACAGGGACCTTCTCATTTGTCCGCCCTTCATTCCCCCAAGTAGCCTGTACTTGGTTCCTCCCCAAGTATCTGCTGTAGAAATCAGCTAAGTAGAGGTGCGCGCGTAAGTGTATGCGTGTGCGTATAAACAAGAGTCTGCGCTTGTGTTTATCACCCGCGTGTTTAATCGACACCAATGCACACATGCTTGTGTGTGTGTGTGGATAGAGTTTGACCTGTGTGGCATCCGATCTCATCAGTGCGGGAGTAGTGTTCCTGCAGGGAGGGTCACGTCCACTCCAGCCCTGTCTCACTGCTGCCTTGAAGGGCTGTTACCACATCAAAAGTTGTTTGTTGAGCCTGGCAACGTGATCACCGTGGGCGTGTTTCTTCTATTACTTGGAAGACTAATGGCTACTCCTTTCCCCTGTACATCCTAATGAAAACAATTAAATAGCCATTAGAGGAGAACAGAAGTGTGAACAAAAGGCTTATGTCTTGATCGTGGATGGGCCTCTTTGCTGGGGGAGGGACTGGGTAGAAGAAATTGTAGGTGACCTGCAGGGTTTTTTTCCACTATTGTGAATGTTAAGAATGCTTGTTGGTAAAAGGGGACGTAGTTTCACTTATGCAAGATGAGTAAGTCCTAGAGATGTACAGTACGGCATAGTGGGTCATTAACAATACTGGATTGTATACCTAAAAATGTGTTAAGAGGTTGTATCTTATATTAACGGTTATACCAAAAATAAAGAGGGGGGGGGAGGAAATTTTTTAAGTTGATGGTTAAGTTTATGGCATTGTTTATGGCGACAATTTCATGGGTATACACTTACCTTGAAATTCATCAAAATGTATACATTAAATATGCACAGTTTTTTTTTAATGTCCGTGACACCTCAATAATAAAAATGAAGAAGAACGCTTGTTGGCTTGTGTATCTTGAGAGCTCTGACCCCCTGTGGGAGGGTGGCTTCCAGAAGGTTCCCTGAACCTTTATTTGTGATGAGAGGATGTGGGAAAATGACCAACAATTATTATTATTATTTTTTAACATTTGTAAAATCTCTCCCTTTCCTTTTCTTGAAATCCTTTCCCAACCTGATCTGGGGCCTTGACTCCTGGCAGATACATCGTTAGCAGGATGGAACAAGGGAGAAGAACAACAAAGCCAGGCTCCCGTGAAGTAACCAAGCTTCCTACCAAGAGCATTACTTATGCCAGATCTGTCCCTTAATTTCCCCTTTATTTGTCACTCTTGCAGAAACCTGTCGAGTAACCGGCTCACCACACTCTCATGGCAGCTTTTCCAGAGGCTGAGTCTTCGGGAATTGTAAGTTCGGTCTTGAAGGCCATCCAAGTGGTAGAGTGGTGGTAGAGGCTGGGTGGGGAGAAATGTGGGGTGGTGGAGCCACCTAAGGTTGGGCATGCACTTGAAGGGGCTCCTTGGGTTGGGTGATGTGGAGTGTACCGTGTTCAGTGAGAGCAAAGCATGCTCTTTGTTGTTCGATTTTCTGATGCTCTTTCTGGCACATTTCTGAAGAAGACCGGAATCTTGTCTCTGAGCAGGACCTAGTTCTGTGATCTGTAGGTAACTAGTAATAATAGTATTTATGTTTATGATACTATGGAGTACTTCAATTTATAATAAATAACATTCATAATATATGCTTTTATGGAGATTATCAGGTGTGCTTTCATTTATATGACCTTAGATTTATCATCATGAAAAAAATAGATATATCATCTTGAGCATTATGGGAGAGAGGTATTTCTTCATTTTAAGGTAAGGGTTCTGAGCCCCCAAAAGGCACATGAGACACAGGCAGGATTGCATTGTTAGGGACTGGCCGACTTAGGACTTGAACCCAGGCCTCCTTACTTCTGATTGCATGTCCTTTCCATTCCTCATAATCTTTTGTCAGCCTATTTGGCTTGCGTTTGGGCATCCCGATGGTGGGGGCTGGGAGGCAAGTCCATATATTTATTCAATCTGCCTGTGGACTGTTTGGCCTTGCTACCTTCCAAGGCTGATCGATGCACCCCTATCCCCTCCAGCCATTGTGTGCAAACCCTTGTTGGATGGATGAGTGAAAATTCCTGACCACTGCTGGAAAAAATAAGTCGTGTTGATGTGTGAGTCATCAGGGTCATCTCTGTGCATGAAGGACAGCATGTTATGTTGAGGGAACAAATCAAGGAATAAATTGGAAAGGAATTGAGGCATGGATGAAATTAGGGAGTCAGGGTTCCAGAGACACTGCTCATGTGTTCCCTTTTACTTAGTGACTCAGATCCAAATTCACTGAATGCAGATTGCTTTACTATCTTTACCAAGAGGCAGTAGCCTTGGATCTCTGCCCATGCTGTTGGCCTTTCAACTTGTCTCCCCTCCACCTGGGAAGACCTGAGTTCACGGATGAGTCAAGATCCTAGCTTTTCCAACCCAGCTGGTCAGGGAGGGGAATATTTACATCCAGTGACCCAATAGCCCAATACTCTGTGATGGCCTTATATACCCTACTTATCCTCATGGACCTGAGTGCCCCTGATTCTTTGAAAGGCCATTCTAGGGCCGGGAAGTACGGAGGTGATCTCAACAGTGTTGGAGAGTTTAGGATAGTACTGCTGTGGGTTGTCTTCCTTTCTTAGGATTTTACTGCTCCTTCTGGGCCACTCCTCTGGTGTGGCCACAGTAGATATAGTGACCACAGTTCTTTAGCCACATAAGGCTTAGGTACATCGATTAAAAACTACCTGAGCTTGGAAAAAGGTAAATGTATACTTTTTGTTTCTACAACACTGAAAACCTAGATGATGTCACAGACGTCACTGACAGCTAAACGTCTGACCATTAGACTTGATGCATTGTATTCATTCCCATCTTTGTAGGTGGAAAAAACCTTAGCACTAAATGAACAGGACTGCTAAGATCACTACTAACAACGATTTCTGAGATCTGACTCCATGCCAGGCACTGTGCCAAGCAATCTCTCGAATTATGTACATTCTTTAATTTAATTCTTGTAATAATTTATCGAGTAGGAATTACTACTATCACTTCACATTCAGGGACACTGAGGTACTTAGCAAGGTTAAGTATCTTGTTTCGGGTTACCCATTAGCCAAGTGGTAGCATATGGACTCAAGGTCTTGACCACTCTGCTTAGCTGTCTCTCAGCCTCTTAAAACCTGTTTCCAATTCAAGGGTCGGGTCTACAATAATTCTCAAAAAGTGCATGATTCTTACGTTGCCCTAGATCTGATCAGGGGCTCTGCCGTAAAGGAGCTAACTGGGGGCTCTCTTTCTTGGGAGTCTCATGTCTGCTTCTCCCGGAATGCCTCCCCCTCCATCTGTAGGCAGCGAGGGACAGCATCTCTCTGGGGGACCTCTGGGGTCTGCAGTTGGCTGAATTATTGAGAAAACGTTCAGTGCTCCTTCTAAAAAAAATCACTGGACGTGAGATCAATGGTGTGCTGCCCTGGTGACCTGTTTCGTGAAGTTTCAGAGACAGTTGTTCCGTGGCTATATATTTAAAGAAAATGTCAGATTTATCTCAGAGGATCATGGGATTCTGCATTCATCTTTGCCCGGGATCGATACACCGGTGAGCTAGATGTGACTTATGGCAGAATGAAGACATTCCCTCCAGTGTGAGTCAGTGTGTGAGGGCCGCCATGTCCCAGGGTATTTTATTTCTGTCATATTGTTAAATAAGAAAAAAATTACATTGGAAAATAAAGAAGCCCCCCTCTAAGGAGCACTTGCCCTGGTAGGGGTCTATTTTTTGAGGAGGAATTGAATGTTCAGAGTGGAAAATCTATCTTTTGGCTGGAGGGGCCTCATGTTGGCTCTTCGCTGTGGCTGTGATTAAAATCCAAACAATCCCAGTTCCTGGCAAATGGAAGAGGGGTTAGTATTTTCTTGTCCGACTTCCTGATTAGTCCACATAGCGCCATCTGTCACGAGCCTTCTAGACTGCCAGGGTCTGCCCAATGGATCCTGTGGGCTGGGGTATGGGGATGGGTTGGGTATTTCCAGGAAGAAAGAATCTTGGCCCTGGAGGAGAGAGGCCAGGGGGAGATGGCTTTCTGTGCCGTGACGGCCAGAAGATCACAAAGCCGGAGTGTGAGTCTTTGAGCCACCTTCTGCAGGAATAGAAGGGGCAAGCTAGGGTCTTCTGTGATTTCTCAGCACATTTCATTCTGTCATTGAGGATCTCTGCCTACCCCAACCAGACCCTCCCCACTGGAGGATCCCTGATACAAGAACGGATGCTGTTGGGATTCTCCATTGGAAGGGCTGAGTATCTATGACCTTCTCAATAGTAGAGATGGAGACAAAAGAGCTGTATATTGAGCACCTATTATGAACAAAGTCCTGTCTCATCTTTGGAGCAACCCCCCATGGGAGGTATCATTATAACCAGTTTTACGAATGAGGGATTGAGGCTTGCCCAAGTTAAACAACTGGTCCAAGATCACAGAGCTTATCAATGGTAATGGGAATTCATATTATGATAATTAGCATTACCACCATCCAGGTCTGCTGTTTCCAAAGACCAGCGCTCTTTCCTTAAACAACTCCGCAAACTTCCCCCGCCTCCCGATACTTGCTGTCTCCTTCTGGAAAACACTCTCATGATGGTGGCTTCCTGAGGAGAATCACTGAGGAAAAAAATAACCCAGACAAGTTAGCATCTCAGAGCCCTGGCCATGTGCTGGAGGCTTCCCTTACTCATTTCTCACTTCCGTTTGTCAGATGAAAGATAAGGTCTTGGCTGAACACCTGGCCCATTGCCCCTCACCAGTCCAGGCTGTGTTTCTCTTATTGAGAGAACTGGAAGCATCCTTCAGGACTCCCTTTGGAGTACTTCGCACTGTATCAGTGGCAGGGTTTTGCAGAAATTTGAGTTGGCATTGCATGGTTGCTCTCAGAGGTTTCTGGTTATAGCAAGATGGTGTTTTTTTTTTTCCCTTATGGAGAAAACTGAAACTGTCTGTCCAGAAATCAGAGCAGGAATCAAAGAGATTGTCTTAGAGATAAAGAGTGAATTAGAAAGAAAAGAAGCTTGGGTTCTGAATCCCATGATGCAATTTGCAAAGGCAAGAGGCAGCAGAGGATATAAACCCACAACGCAGAAACCTTCCAGAAATACCCTAAGGACCATTAGTGTATCTTGAACAGGCTTCTCTTAATACCCTGCACGCACAGAGCAGACATGATTAAAACAGATTGGAATATTTCATTTTCTTAAAGTAAAGTGATAATTACCTCTGGTATAATTTGCAGATTTAATCAACTTGGTAAAATATTAACTTGGTATCGGGGATGGGTTTGGGCTGATCCTGGCACTTTCTTTTCTCCCAGGCTTGGCCATGACCGCTTTCCACGGCTCTCAGAGAAGTCCCTGAACGATCGTGTTAATAATAGTGTTACTATAATAATAATTTCTGGTCTCTTTATAGCCCCTTTCAATTCACAAAGCATGTTATCATGTATTATCACTAATCCTCATATTAACTTTGTTCAGGAAGAGGGTTGAGCGCAATTACCCCCATTTTACAGAAGTTAAAGCAGAACCTTGGGGAAGAAGTTACTGGCCATATTAGTTTCCTAGGGTTGCCTTGACAAATCACGACAAATTTGGAGGCTTCAAACCATAGAAAGTGACTCTCTACTCTTCTGGAGGTCAGAAGGCCAAAACTAAGGTGTCACAGGGCTATTCTCCCTTCAAGAGGGTCTCAGGAAGAATCTTTGCTTACCCTTTCTGGCTTCTGGTGGCCCCTGGTGTCCTTGGCTTGGGTCAATGCCACCCCCATCTCTGCCTCTGTCTTCACATAGCTGTGCTCCCCGTCTCTGTGTCTTTGGCTTCTCCCCTCCTCTCTCTTATAAGGACACCTGTCATTGGATCTGGGGCCCACCCTAAATCCAGAATGATCTTGTCCCATGATCATCCCGTGATCCTTCACTTGATCACATCCACAGAAGACTCTATTTCTAAGTAAGGTCACATTCGCACGTCTTGGGGTTGAGGACTTGCCCAGATCTTTCGGGGGAGACACAATTCAGTGCACTAGCTTTGCCCGGCGTGATCGCTGGCTCCACTCAAACCTGTTGTTTGTGCACTTCTTCTGCCACTATGTTATTTTCTCTGGGAGGCCAGCGGTGATCATCACTTGGACCTCTGGACAGGCTTCCCTGGTTGACCGTAGATCTACACCCCTTCCCCATTTTCTGCGGCCGGCCCCAGGAGGGGAGAAGGAAGCCAGAGGATGTCTGGAGGGGAACCAGTGTTTTCTACATACACCGCCATGGCTTTGGCCGTGGGGCAAGGCGTCTGTGTGTGCCTGGATGGGGCTGAGTTAATCTGCAGGATGCCCCTAGGGCCCTGCGATTAGGCCCCAGGCCATGCTGGGGCAAGGGCTGGGTGTGGGTTAAGCTCTGCCCCGAAGCAGCTGTTGCTGTATTATTCATGGGGCCGCCTGCATTATTGATGGGGCAGGGAAGCCTTACTTCAGGCTCCTCGACACAGCGCCCGGAGCCCTGGCCGAAAGCCCCTCTTCGAGACACCTGACTTGCTGGAAGAACAGGTGGCATCATGTAGACTGAGGGCTGCCCTTCTCTGCTTCTGGCCCACCTTCCTGAACCCTCTCTCGTCAGGATGTGAAGGCTACGGTAGGTCTGCTCGGTGGATGGCCAGGGCACCCGTCTTCAGACTCAGCATGCTTTCTGTTGTGTGTGTGCGTCTTGCCATCTAGGAGGAAAGTCCCAAGGGAGAGGGGAAAAGCTAAGGTTTCTGTGCGGTTTTCAGGAGACTGTGGTGTGGAGGAAGGGCCGGGTCTCGTGGGGCATCCCTTCTACGGGACCAAGTCCTAGGGGAAAAGGATGGAAGGGAACAAAAAGCCGTTAATGTGCTTGTGTCTAGACGTGTCATCCCACCTGATTCTCCCACCAGCCTCAGCACGCTTTGGCACTGTCAGCCCTGCGGGGGCCACCGAGAAGTCAGGGGACATAGCTGTGCGGGGCTTTGGGCAGGCAGGACTCAATAAAGCACATGGTCTTGAAGCAGCCCAGCCCAGCTCCTCACTTGCTAATCTTTTCCACTGAGGTGGATAATTTGTATTTTTACAACTACTTCATAATGAATGACCACATTTGTCAAGCGAGCATGTGGGAAAACCCAGGCTGACCTGGTTCAGTTTGCATATATGCAAACATCTGGACCCTCAGTATCTTTCCAGCAGGGCTGCCCGGCCTCCCCTTGCCGCCCTGTGATGTGAATGCAAGCACAGATCCACGTCCTCAGGCCTTCCTGTCCTCTACACACTGGGCAGCCTAGTTTGACCTTCTGCTTTTCCCGAGGAAGCCATCAGCCGCCTCCCCCACTTACTCCGATGGGAGGGTTCAATGGGGTGGTGCGCGGAGGGCATTCCGCATGGTGTTGGGTACGTGGTAGGTGCGACGCAAATGTCATTCCATTTTTATTTCTTAGCTCTCACTTTCTCCTGCCTGCTTGTTTTCTCTCCTCTCTGTCCATTGTCTCAGCCACGGTGCCATCTTGCCTTCCTGCCTGGGGCAGACGCCTCCAAGACTTCCGGGCCTCACGCTTCACCTTCCTCCTCTAGGACCTCATCCCGATTCCTCATACACTGAGCCTCTTCCTTTCCATTGGTTCCTTCTCTTCTGTTTTCCGCTAAAGACACGTCTCCCCTCCATTGATTTCCTGTCTCCTGGAGCTTAAAACCTCGGTGTCATCTTCCAGTCTTCCCTTCCGCCTCCAACAAAGCCCCAAATACCACCTTGTCTTCTTTACCACGTCTGTTCCATCTTTCCTTCCCTCTCCCCTGCTTTTACCAGTCTCCTCAAGACCCTTATTAATGTGTCAAGCAGTTCTCTCAAATGTGTCAGGGTTCCGTGGGGTCCCCAAGACCCTATTGGGGAGACCATGAGGTAGAATCTGAGACATTACTTGCCCTTTTCACTCCCATTCCCCCGAAGGTGTGTAGTGGAGTTTTCCAGAGGCCGCTTGACTTGTGATAACACCGTCACTCTGGTGACGAATGGGACATTGTGCTGATGTGGTGTTGTGTTTTAAAATTTTCTCTTTGAATTCCAAAATGGTAAAGAGGGATAGGTGTAATCTACATACACAAACACTCTTTGAGGCCCCCAGTAATTTTTAAGAGTAAAAAAGAGTTCTGAGACCAGAAAGCTCGAGAACAGTGACCTTGAGGCTGCCGGCCTCCACTACCCGTGCGTGAATGAGGGAAGACGCCCCGTCTGGGTGCATGTAGACCCGTGGCAGGCACCCGGTCTGGTCAAGGCGTGCGAGTCAAGGATTTCATCCCCCATTCATCCCTTTGCCTGGGTGCTTTGAGAAATGCACACACTTCATGCACCATACTGTTGGATAACTCTTCTTACAGACCTGCTTCGCTCACATCATTGTGAGCTCCAAGGGCCTCACTGGCTCCCATTGCCCCCTGCATGAATTCCAAGCTTGTTGATGTTTGATGTGGCCGTGAATGTCCCTCACCATCTGGCTTCCACTCTCCCTTCCAGCTGTATTTCCCAGCGCTCCTCAACATGAATTCTGTGCCGCAGCGCAGCTTTTCTTTCCTGTTTTCCTATCTCAGCCTCCAGCGTCGCCATGAACTCTTCCCCTGGTCTCTGCCCAGGAGCCGCAGAGTTGGGGGTCGTGCTGACTCCTCTGCATCTCTCCTCACACCCAGCAGTGCCTTGCATGGGATAGACAGGGTGGAGAGCGTGTGGGGTCTGGAGTCCAGCAGGCTGAGGCTTGCAGCCCTGCTTTGTCGCACCCCCAAGCCCAGGGACTTTGCACACGTGACTTAACCCCTCCGAACGCACAAGGGGGGGGGGTCCCTCTTCTGGACAGGGACAGTGCTGGCTGTCTCCTAGGGTGGCTGTGGGAAGCAGATGCTCCATGAAAGCTAGGTCTCTTCTCCTTTTCTGAAAGAGTGCAGGGAAAAGCCAGCCTACTTTTAGACCGAGGGGGTATCATGCAAAGGTGTTGGCACCTTCTACCTGTGGTGTCCCACTGGCTGGGACACACTGATTCTTCCTCCAGGCTCTCACTTTTTCCTGAAAGCTGATCAGTTCTGATGTATGCCTAACTGCTTCGGAATTCTATCCCTTGTCCAGAATATCCTGGGCCTTGGTGCCCCTCCTGCTGGGCACCAATAGATTCGTCTCTTTTCTGGTCCAGCAAGAGAACCACGTTCCTCCTACTGATCCAGGAATTTAGATTTATTGGGTGCCCTTTACTTGAAGAGTCTTACATCAGTGAATGCCATTCATTGTCCCCCTAATGGGATAAGCCCATTTAGAAGGGCAGGGACTTGCTCTCAGTCACAAGGAAAGTCAGTGGAGAAGGAAGGCCTTGAACTTGATGCTTTCTCCATCAGATGCTCTTCTTCACCAAATTGAGTGCTCCTGGAGAACAGAGACTCATTCACTTCTGTATTAACAGCACTCAGCTCATAGCCAGACATGGAACAGGTGCTTGGTAGGATTTTGTTGAATTTATGAAGAATAAACTGGTCCCAGGATGGGCTTTGAGCAGATCTTGGAAATCGCTAAGCACCTACTCCGCAGGGAGAGTAACTCTTTCCTTCCTCCTGCCCTCCCTCCATTCCCTCCTTTTATTCATTCAACAGGTATTTATGTTCAGGCTCAGTTGTAGATCCTGGCGATGTAGCCGTGAACCAAACAGGCAATTTCTCTGAGCTCAAAGGAGCTTAATTTTTATTTGAGGAGACAGATAATAAACAAGCAAATGAATTTTTAAAGTGATGCTGGGCAGTGACAAATACTCGAGGGAAGAAAATAGTAGGGCGGGGACTGGGCAGCACTAAGCTAGGGTTTGCTGGTAGCTTACTTAGAGCAGTGGTTGGAGATGGCCATATGATTCTTTAAGAAAATGAGATAGCCAATCTAGCGGGTATGTTATGGGTAAGAACTGTGCAGGCAGAAGGGACAACAAGTGCAAAGGCCCTGAGGCAGGAGCAGGCTGGTCATGCTAGTGAACTTGACAGACGGCAAGGTCAGTGTGGCTGAAGCAGAGGAAGGGGGTGTGAGGTAGGAGATGAGGTCAGAGAGGTGATGGAGAGCAGTGCAGAGCCTGTAGGCCTTTGACCTTGACGTTCAATGAGATGGGAAGCCACTGGAGGGTTTTGAGAAGAGGAGCATCTCAAGCTGACGTATTTAAAAGGGTCTCATTGAATTAAATGGAGTGGATTTCTTTTTTTTTTTTTAAATGAGTGTATTAGTGCAAAAACTAAATGACTTCCTGCACTTAGAAGTATTTTTTCATTTATTTCGAGACCTTGCTAAACCCCTTCTCTCCCTAATCCCTGACGAGCAGGTGGGGCCGTCCCTCCCAGCCGTGGGAGGGAGCTGGGCCGTCTTTGGTTCAGGAGGTCCCTCCCCCCGTCTCCTTGCCCACAGGAGATTGGAGCAGAACTTCTTCAACTGCAGCTGTGACATCCGCTGGATGCAGCTGTGGCAGGAGCAGGGGGAAGCCAAGCTCAACAGCCAACACCTCTACTGTATCAGTGCCGACGGCTCCCAACTGCCCCTGTTCCGCATGAACATCAGCCAGTGTGGTGAGTGAGCTGCCTGGCCCCGGCAGGCTCCGGGGAGAGATCCCTCAGCCCCTGTGCAGGAGCCTGGGAAGCCAGGGCCCTCTGGTCCCCACCCCTACACACACCCCCGGCCTTGAACTCTGCATTGGGTGCAGATCTGGCTTACCGTTGACCTCCTCGGTCATTCTTGCCCCTCCGTGAGCCTGGAATGAAGACAGGGATTAAGTGGGCCCCTTCTCAATGGACCGGAGTCCTTTCTCTCTGTGAGTTACTTGTCAACCACATCTGAAGGAGTCTATCTCAAAGCGTGGGCTCTGGACCTTCTGTATCAGGAGCAGCTAAGGTACTTGTAGAAAAGCAGATTCCTGGGCCCAACGGACTTAATGAGATCCCAGAATGTCTCAGAATGGGCCTCAGAAATCTGAATTTCTAGCAAACTCCTCATGGGAGCCTGAAGCAGACCAGAGTTTGAGAGCCAGTGCCCAAAGTGGAAGATGCCAGTTGACCTCGTTGCTGGAGCTACATTCTTTGAGCACCTGCCCCCCCCCCCCGCACCCACTGCCTGCCTTGTGGGAGAGCCCAGCTGAGCTGAAATTCTGAGCTCTGGCATCGGCGGGGAGGTGCTGGGAAGATTCTGGGACTTGGGGGCCTTCCAAGAGCTTGATCAAGCAGGTTGTGTTGAGAAGTGCCACCATCGACCCCAGGGACAAAGTTTTGGTATTAAGTGTTGGCTTATCTTTTCACTCATCCTGTCCTCCCTCCCAGACCTTCCCGAGATCAGCGTGAGCCACGTGAACCTGACCGTTCGAGAGGGTGACAACGCTGTCATCACGTGCAATGGCTCTGGATCACCTCTGCCCGATGTAGACTGGATAGTCACTGGACTGCAGTCCATCAACACCCACCAGGTAGGGGCCCTAGGCTCCAGCCCCATCAGGAGGCTGGGGAGCCTTGACCTCTTAGTCTAAATGAGCTGAATCATGACTCAGAAGCAAGAGATGTGAGGAGAAGGAAGAAGAGGGCAAGTCTGTGCATACTTGGTTCTCATCCAGCTGCAATCTTTTCTAGCCAACCTGACCTTCAGCATGCTAATAAACTTCTCTGTACCTTAGTTTTCTCATCTGTAAAACGGGTCTAATGCTACCATTCACCCCATCGGGTAAATGTGAGGATTTCCTGAGCTCTTGACTGTGGAGAGCCTGGTGCCTGGTCCATGTGCATGAGAGGAAGAAAGGCCTCCTTCGCTTCCTGCACAGTTTTCTTCTTGATCCCTGAAGGCGTCTGGGAGGTGGGTGAGGAACCACCTTCTAGAAACTGATTGTTGGTTTTTTTTTTATTGGGGTTTTAGACAAATCTGAACTGGACCAACGTACATGCCATCAACCTGACCCTGGTCAATGTGACAAGCGAGGACAACGGCTTCACCCTGACGTGCATTGCGGAGAACGTGGTGGGCATGAGCAATGCCAGTGTGGCCCTCACCGTGCATTGTGAGTAGCTGCCATCATGGAGGGGGGCCGTGTAGCGAAGGGGATGGTCGTGCGGGGCGGAGGGAGGGAAGCAGGGGTGCTGGGAGGGCAGGACCGAGCAAGCCAGTCCTTGGCTGGTAACCCTGTTAATCCCTGTCCCTCAGAAGATGGGGTGCCTCCAACTCATCTACTCATCTCTGTCTTCACGATACCCCCACGCTGGCCCCCGTCTGCCTTCCCTTCGCCTCCTAGCAGGTCACGGGAAGGGGCCCTCCAGTTGTGGTGGACCCCGGGAAGCGGGGGTGAAGACAGCCCTCTCTTGCCCACTCTTGGGAAGGTGGCGGGGGAGCCTCTGATGCCCTCGGTCCTCTCCGAGCTGGATGGGGGAAGAACTGGGAGCCCCGTTCTAGTGTCGGGCGGGCTGCTCTGGGGCGCGAGAGGCTCTGCGTGCTGGGAGTCAGCCGGCCCGTGCCCCCGCAGACCCTCCGCGCGTGGTGAGCCTGGAGGAGCCGGAGCTGCGCCTGGAGCACTGCATCGAGTTCGTGGTGCGTGGCAACCCTCCGCCCACGCTCCACTGGCTGCACAACGGACAGCCGCTGCGGGAGTCCAAGATCACCCACGTGGAGTACTACCAGGAGGGCGAGCTGTCCGAGGGCTGCCTGCTCTTCAACAAGCCCACCCACTACAACAACGGCAACTACACGCTCATTGCCAAAAACCCGCTGGGCACAGCCAACCAGACCATCAACGGCCACTTCCTCAAGGAGCCCTTCCCGGGTGAGGGTCCCGCAGCCTGACGGCGCCGACTCCTTCCGGGAGGGGGCGGGGTGGGCGCGGTAGCCGGCCAGAGGATGCGGCGGGCCTTGACCTCGTGCTGTTGTCTCGGGCAAACCAAACCCAGCCTGTGGCAGAGTCAGCTCCCGCCAGCATTTTGCGTAAACCAGAGAAAGGCTCCGTTTTTCCACGGCTGTCAGAGTGAAAACCAAGACCCCCTCAGAAACGCGCAGTTGTGCACACAGGGACGTGCCCTGTTCTGGTAGAGGAAGGGCCTGAGATCTGGAGGAGAAAGACAGAATCTTGACCCAGTCCTTTAGTTGTTGCGAAACTCCGGGCACGATAGTTTGCTTTTGTCTGAGCCTCAATTTCGCTCATCTGTGCAATGGGCATGATGACACTGCTCCTTTAAGACTCGGGACTTCTGGTCTACAAAGCGTGCAGGCTTTGACTTATAACGATGGTTCGATGACCTTCCATGCAGGGGTCTCTCTAGTTCAACCCCATATGTAACAGACGTGTGAACTGAACCTCCTTCTACTTGCTGGTTGGTAGCAAGGCTTGGCGAGGGGGTAGGCTTCCAGCTCTGACCTTGCTCTCTTGTTCTGTGGTGCGCTTGGGTGGGGGGAGTATTTGATGCCCTCAGACTGCGGGGGCGCTAATGTCGAGCGGGCCAGGGGTAGTAACTGAAGGAATGAAAGAACTTTGTTTGACTCTTTGTTTGACTCTGTCTGGGCTACAGTATTTCCAATACCTTCCTAGGTTGCAGGAGAAGAAAACCCTCAAAGAGTTTACTGTACGCGGTTGTAGCTTCTCTTGGTGGGTTCAGCAGTTGATGGCGTTGTGTCAATGAAACCGAGCATTGTTGATGACCTTGGTGATTTCTGCTGGGAACAGGCTGGATGACCTTCAATCTCCAGGACTCAGGGGTTCTAGCGAGATAAATAAAGGGGAGTGAGAAGACAGATCACACACACACACACACACACACACAGAAAGGGGGGCAGCAACAGACAGCACGGTGCCCCATCCACTTATGTGAAGGTGACTTCACAGCTCACATGTACCAGGTTGCAGCTCCAGGAGGCCTTATTTATCTCAGTGCAAGGAAATTCCTCCTAGAAGCTCCGAGAGGGAAAGCTACATGGGAAGCCAAATTCTTGCCACTGAGGTCCAGGGGAGAATGGTGGTACGCCGTCGCTCAGGAGAGGGTCCAGAAGGTGCTGGTGTTTAAGACCTTGGCGGTCCCATTTGGTCCAGCATTTCCAGCATCATCACCAGCACGCCCAGTAGAAGGCCTCAGGGCTTTTCCCACTGTGAGCCTCACCCATCTCTGCTCTGGGAGCTCGAAGAGTCCCTGCCACTCTGTGGAAGGAGAAGATTTAGATGCAGAGATTCTTTGCACTCCTGGGCCACACAGGCCTTGCTGGTGTGAAGGGCTAGAGAGGTCCCCTAAAGCAATGCTTGTTTCCAAAGGGAAGCTGCTGGGGCCTGGAGAGAGTGGGGAGCCCTGGAATGCTCTGGAGGGAGGGTGACCCACTCTGGGCTCCTCCCCTCAGAGGCTGTCCTGAGAGCAGTTCTTTGTATCCTGCCAGCCATACAGACACGCTTTTTGTCCCCAAGAGACATAGCAGCTCCTTGCCACCTTATCAGCTCCCCTTAGGCCAGTGGTTCTTAAAGAGGGGTCCCCGGACCAGCAGCCTCACCATCACCTGGGCGTGTGTTAGAACTCAGATTCTCCAGCCCACCTGGACTTGCTGAGTCAGAAACCCTGTTTGAACAATCAGCTGCCATGCTGTTTGGTGAGCTCTGGCCCCAGGAGGTGGGAGGCAGGAGAGAGTCACAGGGGAGCTCCAAGGGAAACAACACACCCCAAGGCATCTTCCTCAGACCCAGGTGCCGCCCTGTGCGAAGTTTTGCTTGTTTTATGAACCTGAAGGACTCAGTGGGTGATGAAAAGGCAGTGACAGGGAAACGATGGGCCAGTCGTGTCAAGTGACAAAACGTCTAAATGTTCAGGAAAGTAAATTATCTGGAGGTTCGGACAATAAACCTCATCCCTGCCGAGCTCTGGATACAAGGCTGTCTGTGGATTCCCGCGCTTCTCTTTTGCCCTGAGCATGTTGCGACATCATATTTATCATAGCGACTCCTCTCTCGCTCCCAGGCGAGCAGAGCGTAGAGGTTAAGAGCGAGGGTTCTGAAATCAGGCAGATCGAGGTGCAAATCCCATCTATGACCCAACCGGACAGGTGGGTCTGGGGTTGGTGCGTGGTACGCAGCTGGCATGCAGTGAAGGACCATCTCTACTCTGCCTCTACTTTGCCATCTGTGGAATGGGAGCGAGAACAAAAGCTCCCTCCCTAAGCTGCCATGAGGATTTAAGTGAAGTATGTTAAGGGTTTAGCTCTGTGTTGAGAGAGAGGAAAGGCGCACCAGCTGTCAGCTATTGCTAGGATTTTTGGGACAGAGGGATGCAATAAACGTAGGAGTTCTAGAAGCAGCATTCTCTGGTCAAGCTCGTCAGTTCTACCAGATAGGCTCTGGGCAATGTCATCTGTAGGCCTGTGGAGCCAACCACACTGCCAGGGTTCAGAGTCTCTCTAAATCGCTCATCAGCTTTGTCATCTCAGGCATATTACTCAGCCCTGTGCTTCTACCTCAAAGGCCATGAAGATTGGTTCACACACAGTGGATTCATCCACTGAAAGTGCTTACGACAATGCTTGGCACAGAGTAAGCACAGAGTTACTGTTTGTTTTTATTTTTTTGAGAAGCACACCCAGGGGTGACTGAAAGGGAATCTGTTTGGGGGGCAGAACAAGATCTGAAGGGAACCGTCTCCTTTTCTGATTCTTCATGGTCCTGAGACCCCTGGGAGAGATTTGATTGGAATGAATATATTTAATGGAGCAATCTGGAATGAATGTATTTAATGGAGCGATCTGGAAATGTAGAGGCTTCCATCAGTAAGGATTTTCTCCGAGTAGGACGTTAAAATGAAAATGTTCTGGAAAAGTCTTTTTTGGTTGTTGTTGTTTGTTTTTTTAAATTACACATGCTATACAAATGTTGGATTTCCTTCTACATTTCCAGAGAAGGGCTAGAACATTCAGCATGGCATCCAACCTTGATGAAGGAGGTCCCTGCAAGGATTGGTTAGGGAGGTTGGTTCTAGAAGCGTGGAGCTAAATCACTCTTTGGTGTTCCAGGAACTTGGGCTGCCAGAGGGGTCTGGGCATAAGAGTGGGAAGCCACGAGGCATCAGGGATTCATGTGTCAGGAGGGGAGGAACTGGAAAGGCTGGGGGGGTGACGGCAGGGTGGGAGGTGGTAGCTAGAAGGTTGTGGTCTGGGAGAGAATGTGAAGTTCCTTAGATGATGATGTGATGGAAGGAGGCATGTTGCCAAGGGGGTGTGTGTGTGTGTGTGTGTGTGTGTCTGTGTGTGTGTGTGTTTTCCTGCGCATGTGCAACAAATACCTGAGACTACTTGACGAAATATTTAGGAATAAGTGAGCTGCCGTACCTCTTAAATTCTCATTTTTCACTTGGCCAGGAAGTCCAGTTATTTCATGGAGATTTTTACAACAGCAGAAACCAGAATTCCCTCAGGACGCTGGGTACAAACATTGGGATAAATCACTGCCCCAGCGCCCTCAGCCTCGGTCAAGGCTGGTTTCCTTGCCCTAAGGAACTGGTGGAGCTAGAATGTGGTCCCAGGCTTCTGGGCAGGATGGGCGGTGTGAGCCGATCGATGCCTTGGCTCAGCCTCCCCTCTGCCTTCTCACACCTAAACCCGGAACATCTACTCTCAACCGCACGTCTCAGTGCACCTCTTTTTCTGGACACACGCTGCTGCCTCGCTTCTCCCTTCTCTGGACCCCACTGGCTTTTCCCATAAGGCCCTTCTTGATGAGTTTTGGGACCAGAGGACATGCGGTCTGGGACTGGGGTGGTGTGCAGTCAGGCCCACCCCGTTCGTATTCAGACAGCACCTTGGCATATGGATCCCATTGTCCTTCCCAGCTGCTGGTGGGGTAGGAGGTGAGGAGCATTCCTGGGTACCATCCTCTTCCAGTGCAAAATTCTGAGCTCCCCCACTGGTTAGAGGGGACCCAGGAGGTCTCCGTGTTCCAAGGCTCATATGCCTCCCGGATGGATGAGTGTCCCCAGGCTCCAGCAAGGCAGTTAAGCACATAGGCTGATTGGGAGATTACAGGGTTCATAGACTCGGCCAAAACATTTGCCTGATGTGAGACTATTCTCTAATAAACAGGAGCCTTATGGGAAATATGCAAATCAGCGTTAACTGTGAATTGATCTGGCGCCTGTCTTTCCTCAGGCTCTGAAGCCAAGGCTAGGGCCCCCTCTCCTCGATCCTCCCCACACATCAGGCACTTGGTACCTGCGGTTTACAAGAGGGTGGTAGCATGAAGGGCAGGCTCAGGGGTTTGGAGAAAGCTCTGTTGGTCTTCCCCAGATGACACAAAATGGACAACACACAAGCCAGCTATTAACGGTGCATTTACTGTAAACAGGATTTTCTCTAGACTCCTTCACAGAAAGCATCACTTGCCCCACAGGTGGTTAGAGAAGAATATTTGCTCGTACGTATTAAATAGAGCCATAATTACAATGACTGTGAGAACTTAGCCAACGGCCTGAAGACTGAGGGATGGATGGATGGATGGATGGATGGATGGATGGATGGATAGATGAATGAATTGTTCTTATTTTTCAGGGTATAGTAGGCTTGTGGCCGCAGTACGTGTAACATAATGCAGTGGTTCTCAAAGGGACCAGCAGCACCAGCATCACCTGAAATCTTGGTAGAAATGCAAATTCCCAAGACCTTCCCCAGACCTCCTGACTCGGAAACTCTGGGGTGAGGACCAATAATCCATGTTTATGGAAAAAAAAATTTTTTTTAGAAAAAAGTTTTAAGATTTTTTTAACAATCATCATTTTGAAATAGTTTTAAGATTTACCCCCTGGGGGCACCTAGGTGTCTCATTCAGTGAAGCATCTGCCTTTGGCTTGGTTCATGATCCCGGGATCCTGGGCTCAGTGGGAGCCTGCTTCTCCGTCTCCCTCTGCCCCTCCTCCCTGCTCGTGTTCCCTCTCTCACTCTGCTCTCTCTCTCAAATAAATAAATAAAAATTCTTTAAAAAAAGATTTACCCCTCAAAAGTAATAAAATAATACAAAGAACTTCCTTATACCCTTCACCCAGCTTCCCCAAATGGTATCATCTTACGTAAGCACAGTCCGATGTGCAAAAGCAGGATATTAACACTGACACTATTATCGAATCTACGGACCTGTCTTTTGTCCACTGCTGTCCTCTCTTCTCTAGGACCCAATGCAGGGTCATACACTGCATTTAGATGCCCTGTCACCTTATTCTCTTTCAGTCTGGGACGGTTCCTCAGTCTGTCTTTGTCTTTCATGAGCTGGATAATTTTTTTTTTTTAAGTTGTATTTATTTGAGAGAGAGAGAGAGAGCATGTGAATGGGGTGAGGGGCAGAGGGAGAGAGAGAATCCCAGGCAGACTCCCCGCTGAGTGCGGAGCCCGACGTGGGCCTCGACCCCACGACCCTGAGATCACGACCTGAGCTGAAATCAAGAGTCAGACGCTCAACCGACTGAGCCACCCAGGCGCCCCAAGCTGGACATTCTTGAAGGATACTCACTAGTTACATTGTAGACTTCCCCCAATGTGCGGTTGTCCACTTTTGCCTCACAGTTAAATGCCCGTTACACATTTTTGGCATGAACAGCACAGAAATGATGCTGGGCTCTCTCAGGACATTACAGCAGGGGTACATGGTGTCTACACCACTAGTTCCTGGTGATGTGAATTAACTCTGTCACCAGGTTGCCATGGTATCTGCCAGGGTTCTCCACTGCGAGGTGATTTTTTTTTTTTCCCTTTGTACCTAATGAGTATAATGTTTCGATACTTTGTAAATGTCTTGTGTCTTATCATGCTTTCACACATTAATTTTAGCATTCATTGAGGATTCTTGCCCGAAACAGTTATTACCGAGGTATTTGTCAATGGTGATTTTCCTCTTTCCATCATTCCTTCTACATTTGTTAGGTGGAATTCTACTGTAAGGACGAGTGTTCTCTTCTTCCCCTGTTTGTTTATTCAATTGCTTATTTACATTGGTATGGACTCAGGAATGTTTATTTTGTGCTATGACTTATAATCCATGTAGTTGGCTCCAGCTGCCATTAGAGAGTACCACAGACTTGGTGGCTTAAACAAGAGACATTTATTTTTCTCGCAGTCCTGGAGGTTGGAAGTCTGATCAGGGTGTCAGCAGGGCTGGTTCCTTCTGAGACCTCTCTCCTTGGCTTGCAGGTGACTGTCTTCTTTCTGTGTCTGCACGTGGTCTTCCTTGTGTGTCTGCGTCCTAATTGCCTCCTCTTACAAGGAAACCGGCCATATTGGATTCGTGTCCACCCTAATTAGTTTATTTTAACTTAATTACCTCTTTAAAGACCCTGTCTCCCAATACAGTCCTATTCTGGAGTACTGGAGATTAGGGCTTCACCATATGAATTTTGGGCGGATATAATTCAGCCTGTAACAATCCATGGCTGTCTTTATTTATTTTGTTGCTTAAATTGTCCCAAATTTGGTCATTGGGAGCTCCTTCACTTTGGCTCCTCTGTTCTTTTCCCATGCTCCCGTTAATTTGGAGCACTCTCTTACTTTCTAGTACCACACAATGTTCCAGACACATCTTGTACTTTCTCTGCCCCAGGCCTGAAATTACTCACTTTCCCAAGGAGCCCTCATTCCTTTTATTGGAGAACGGTAGTGATCACCCTCTAGATGATTCTATTGCGTGCTAGAATTAGAGAATCTCTCATGGAGTGGTTAAGAGCCCAGACTTGGATTTGAATCCAGCTCAGTGTCTTCCCTCGTTGAGATTCAGTTAATCAATCTCTAGAAGCCTGTTTCTATTTCTGTCAAGTGGGGATAATGCTCTCCAACTCCTCGGATGGTTATAAGGATCAAGTGATGTGTTACATAAAGCATTGAGCCCAGCCCCTGGCTTATAAACAATGTCTAATAATGATGAACTTTCACCATTAGCTGAGCCATTTCTGGAGGCAAATATCCAATAGCACATTTTCATTTGGGGGATGGGCAGGTTCATAGAGGGATTCCCAGGAACATCTCAGGCACCTGCTAGAATAAACTCTACGTATCAATTTGAGGAGTTCTGTCTTGGGATCATAGCTGGCATTTTCAAGAAAGGTCCACCCTGCAGCATTTCTTCTTGGCTTTGAGGTACCACCAGCATCCCCAGCACTCTGGGTACCTGAAGCGGAGAGGACTGTGGGTGAGGATTGTTCTAGATGTAATTTTCCATCTCATAGACCCAGGGAGGCTGGGCCACCTCCCTCAGAACCAGGAGCTTTATCTCTCATTCCTTCTCCACTTGGAAGACCACCCCCTGGAAGGGTAGTGTAGCATGGGGGAGGGGTGATATGTCAAGGATTTTAGTTTTCAGTTGCCAGGGTAACGGGGCATTCATGGTGAGTGGGAGAGGTCGTACCTGTGAGGAAGATACAGCTCATCTGCTCTGGTTTTTATGACACTTGTTAATTTCTCTTTATCTTTTTTGCAGAGAGCACGGATAACTTTGTCTCTAGTAAGTCTGCTTTACCTTTTGCTTTGAAACTGTTTTATTCTGATACTCTAGGTCATTACTGACTCCACATAGCCCTCTTTCCCATTCCATGGCCAGCCCCAGACCCCTGGCAGCTGAGAGCGTCTGAGGGAACTGTGAAGGGGAACTGGAGAGTAGAAATACTTCTTGGGTAGTTCCATTTGCACACCTCTTGGGCTCCATGCCTCAGTTTCCCCCAGGGCGTTCCCTAAGGTCTGAGCATGTTGTGGGTCTCCCTGCCTGGATGGGAAGGGGTGGTGTCAGGAAGGACATGGGGTTTCCCATGCCCAGGTAGACCCGGTGGTCATCTCAGTTGTCCTTGTGGAGAGAAGGGGGAGCCTCTAAGCCTGTGTTTCTCACCTGCTCTGAGGGCCCCAGAATCTGGCTGGGGACTCCCTTGTGAGTGATTTACAAGGTCTCCTGATAGGCTTGTGTGTCCTCAAGTGGAATTACTATTTTTTTAAGTAGGCTCCATGCTCAGTGTGGAGCCCGGGACGGGGCTTGAACTCACAACCCTGAGATCGAGACCTGAGCTGAGATCAAGAGTCAGACACTTAACTGATTGAGCCACCCAGACGCCCCTAAAGTGGAATTATTGAGGCTCAGTTTAAAAGCAATCTGGGGCTAGGCCTAGACAACCCCCCTGCAAAATTTGGTGTTTTGCTCAAGGGCTGTGGGGAAATCTGTATTTATGGCTTTTCCCTTTCTCCCCCATGGGAAACTAACAGCAACAGCCCTGTCGTTTCTGCCCTGTGTGTGGTCTGAGATAGTGAAAGTCCTATTGAGGACACCCCTTACTGTTGGGCACGGATGTGCAGATCATCTGTGATTCCTTCATTTGTCCTTGGTTTGAGAAGACTTGTCGTCTCCCAGAATGTGGGAATTCTGAATTGGGGCCGTTTCGTGCCCAGGAGGTGATTTGAGATGGAGGACACACTGGCTTCCCATCCAGGCCTTGCTGGGAAAGGTGGGGTTTCCTGGTCAGATGGACTGGTAGCTTACCTTGGGCTGCCACTGTGTTCTGAAGTCTGTGGTAGGGGAGTGGACAGTGGGTTGTTCCTGGGGCCGTGGGTCTCCTGGTGTCACTGAGGAGTAAAGAGGGAGAAAGGAAGGGCATGGGAGAGCCAGGGACAGGCAAAGGAGGGCCTAGAGCAGAGGGTAGCCTAATGTCAACACCAGATGTTGTTACCAGCAACTTGTGCCCAATCCACACCCTGGCCTGGATCCCAAACCATTTTTTCCTGCTCCTTTGTATCTAGTAGTTCATGGCCTACATTGCCCAGGTGACATTATTTGCTCTGGAATGGGGGCAGGGGGCTGGCAGGGAGGGTCCTTTATTCCCTGTGGAGCCCCTGTCAGCACCAGCCAGGTGACTGGTTGGGGACCTGGTCTCTGGGGACCCCTGCAAAGCAAGGGTATGTTCTCTAGCAGGAGCTCCTGAGGGGGGCCTGGGAGTCAGGTGGGGACTGTGGCTGAACCTCTCATGGCTGGTAAGCTAACCACCCTCCTGGTCTGGTTGGATTTCAGTTTACGACGTGAGTCCCACACCCATCACTGTGACCCACAAACCGGAGGAAGACACTTTTGGGGTAAGTCATTCCCAGATCAAGGGGAAGGTGTTTACTGACTTTGTTTTAGGAGCTAACTTTCCGGAATTTTATCTTACTTGGAACCCTAACATATGCAGCAGAAAAAAAAAAACTGTGATGAATGACCTCCTTTCAGGTGGTTGAAACCTTCCTTGTTTGATGAGAATAAGTCATTGTTTGAGGAAGTCTTTGAGGATCTGCTCCAGGCCCTAGGGTTTGGAAGAGAACCGTTTGAAAACTCCCATTCTGTTAGGAGCCTGGCTGGGCCTGATTCGAAGGGAATGCTAACCACACAAGCCTTTTACAAAAGTCAGAGTTGCTCAGAGCATCCCCTTGGGTGGATTTTTCAAGTCCCTCCCCCCACCCTCCCCTGCCTGACTCAGAGCCAGAGATTTCCCTGAGGAGGAGAGCAAAGGGTTTTTTTTTGTTGTTTTTTTTTTGTAAGACTCCAGATCTCCTAGAACCTTCTGGATGATATTCTGTAAAGAATGTCAATGTGAAGGTGCAGAGGTTTTTTTTTTTTTGCTAATGAAAACAACAAACAGTAGACAGAGACATCTTAGGCCTGCCCTTGCGTTGCTTATGATGGATGGCCCGCAGATGAGAGGCTGAGCCACGGAACGTTCTCTCAACCGGTTGGGGAATTAATTTTCTTGTAATGTTCTGAAGGTCTCATGAGTTACTTCTGCTGAGGAATTGACTCAGTGGTGAAATTTGGAATGGGCTGCAGCGGATCCCTCGATAGGACTACTTCCGTTTGGGCGCGTGTGACTTCCCTGGCATGAGGGTTTTCGGTGACTCTTCTCAACTGTCTGCTCTCGGCCCCTCCCAGGTGTCCATAGCGGTGGGACTTGCTGCTTTTGCCTGCGTCCTGTTGGTGGTTCTCTTTATCATGATCAACAAGTATGGTCGACGGTCCAAATTTGGAATGAAGGGTAAGGTGGGATTTTCATTTGCAAGGGTCTCCTGGGTGTGTGTGGGGGGTGGGGGATAGGGTTCCTGTTGATCAAAAGACTCTGTTTTATTCTCCCTTTGCTCTCCAAGGGGACCTCCGCTGGTAGGCTGAAGGCGTCCTGGTGGAGACTCCTGTCTGAACCTTGTTGTTGGTAGTGATGGTTTAGAGGCAGTGTTGGTGTCTGCGGGGGCCAAGCCGGGGTCTGCCTGGGGTTTTGCCCTGAGTGCGGGAAGCATCATAGAGCGGGGCTGCTTGCTGCAAGACGGTAGTTTGTGAAGGAAGTTGGTGAGAAAAAGGACTCCTTGTTTGAGTAGCTTAGTTTCCCTCTGCAGCCTCCCTTGGAGTTGTGATGCGAAGGTATTAGCGAGCTAGATGTCAGGTGGTGGATCCCAGTGTTGGGACGTTGCCCACACGATTGCATTTCAGCACGCAGCTCTACGCAGGGTCCCAGAGCGGATGCCAAGAGCAACACGATTGCTAAATCTGCTGGCCGGCTTCCACAATGCCCAGTCCTCAGCCCCCTTTACGGCTGGGGTAGGCTGTGGGACAAGGCTTCCCACCAAGGTTCGGGTTAGGGGAGTGGCACCAAAGGGGTTAACATGGTGAATTAGCATCCATCTGCCTGGTCTCAGGGATGGATCTGACCAGATGGCTCCAGGGACACTGGGTACCAGTTCTCAAACAGAAACTGGAATTTCAAGACCTGCTCCCCTCTGGGGTTTCCATTTATGGCTGGTGTTCAATGGGAGGTGGGTAGGGAAGGATGAGGAAAGGTTCTACAAGCTGTCAGGTTGCTGAGTGAGGATCTAGGTTGGAGTTTTCTGGTGAGAGTACGGGACCCAGAAAGATGAGTTTCTACAGCTTCTACACATGAACTGGGATCTGTGGGGAGAGTCCTGACCTTGGGACTCAGGGACCGAAGGAGGGCACGTGAATGAGATCCACGGGGACGGTGGCCCTCTGAACTTATGCAAATGTTTGGGCATATGTGGCGGTGGGGTGAGGGGTGGTTTGGAACCGAACTAGTCCACTCCTTCTGTTATATTCTCAAAATATTCTGTGACTCCCCTAAAAGTTTAGAAGGAAGGACAGAAGGGTAGAAAACAGAAGGGCAGGCCGCCTGGCTTCTCAGAAGCTGCCTACCTCTCTATACCCTCTTTCTGTTCTTGCTTTAGCTGAACGAGTCAGAGCAAGGCAAGCCAGGTTTCTGTGAATCCTATGAAATATTTTGACCCAGAGAAATACTTGTGCAAGCAAATTATAGAGAGGGGATGGAAGTTTGGCCCGAAGCCCCATGACTTAAACAAGACCAGACCACTGTGAGGCACCTCGATCGGAGATGTTTTATCTGCCAGTATTCCCCTGTGCCAAGCAGGACTCCCATGGGGTTCGAAGATGAATCCCACTGGGTGAGCCCCAAGCCTAATCCCTGGGCCTGTGGCTTCGGGGACTGGCCCGATTGCTGGTGTAAAGTTTCAGACCATGGGTGGAACCCTCTGACTCTAGCTATTCCTTCTTCCACCTGAGAAAGCATGAGGGCCTCAGCCAAAGGGGACAATGGGGCATTGCTGAGACCAGCTGAGGCCCTGTGACATGCTTGGCAGCATTGCGAGAGCAGATTTTTCCTATTAATTGTCATCTGGTTTCTGGAACAGTGTGTCCCCATGTCGGATGGATTAGGCAGTATCCAGGGCGGTGCCTTCCCCTCAGCTGTCCTCAGAGCCTCTCCCAGCCCCTGCTCCCCTCTCCCGGGGTTGAACTGCCTCCTTGGCCCTGGATGGCCCGGGAGGACATGTCCCACGAGGCGGCAGGGAAGTGTCCCCTCCTCTAGAGCCCAGGAGCCTGAAGAAGGGAGGCTGCCCTTCGAGGCCAGATGTGGAGGTGTGTCCAAGGCTGAAGCTCCCTGTCTCTGCTCTTTGTTACCCCCGATCCCCTGTGCTTGGGCCTCATCATAGGATGAGTAAGCAAGTGCCCCAGGCTGCATACACCCCCCTCCCACCCCCAATCCTTTGTTGCCAGTCGGGCATCCCAATGCAGGAAAGAGTGAAGCCCCTGGACTCTGACTCCGGCGAACCTCCATGCCTTCTTATCCAGCCCGTCCTCAGCTTTGAATGTTCAGATCTGGGTCACACTCTGCCATGCCACTTAACTGTTCTTTGCTTTTAGCGGAGTTACTCCACCCTCGCAGCCTCTCCTTCTTCCCTGGGTTGCTGTATTGAGATGTGTGTGGAACTGGCATATAAAAGGGGGCCCCATGGTTGTACTTCTCCCCTTCTTTTCTTCACGTATAAGCCTCTCCCGGCTCCTTTCATTGTCCTTCTATGAAGGGCTGCCCTCCCAAGACTCACTCACACCCTCCTTTGCTGCACACAGTGTTTAGTCAGGATGCTTTGATTCTGCACTAATCCCAGTGCCTTGTCATTACTTTGCACACACATCATCTGTCTGTCCTGCTAGACCAGGAGCGACTTGGCAGAAACCACAGATCACTAAGCCCAGTGTGCTTGAAACTTCACACGGTGTTTGACAAATGCTCGTTGAACTTCAGATGGATGACTATATTTATAATCATAAAAAAAAAAAAAGCACAGCTTGTGAATCAGTAACAGGCTAGTAAGGGCTATTTTGGCAACATGAGGTGTCTGGGCAGTGGGAGGTAGAGTGGGAATGATGAGGGGAACTCATAAATAATACCCAGCGTCCACATCTGAGGGCCCCGAACACAGTGTGTGGACGGGGAGGGATTGTTAAGATGAATTTTACTTCCTCCTGACAAATAAGAAAAAGACAAAAATACAAAGGTTGGTGTAACAAATACTCCTATTCCCACCACTCAGAATAAGCAACTTTTACAGTTTTGTTTTTATCTTTGCATCTGATGTTTTATTCCTAGAATACAGGGATGAAACTGCTAATAAAACTAAAAATGCTTCAACTGTCACCTCCATTTCCCAGAGACCGCCACCAGCCTGGGCTCCGAGTGTGTCCCTCAGTTCACTGTTTTTGTCTCTCTCCTTGGTCTCTACCTCTGTTTCTCTGTTGTCTCTGCACAACCGCCCTCCCCCCTTGGCTGTCTCCTAGCCAAACTCACACCCTGTGGGCTGCCTCCACCCCATGGCGATGCTGTTGGCCAGGTCTGGTAACCAGTTCATTTTTATACTTCTTTTCTTTTTTTTTTTAAGATTTTCCATTTGTTTATTTGGATTGCATACAAGTGGGGTGGAGGGGCAGAGGGAGAGGGAGAAGCAGACTCCCCGCTGAGTAGGGAGCCTATATAAGGCTTAGAGCTCCATCCCAGGACCCTGGGATCATTACCTGAGCTGAAGGCAGATGCTTAATGGACTGAGCCACCCAGGCGCCCTGTTTTTATACTTCTGTGTGTATGTATACATATACATGTATATTTTGTTTTTTTGTTTGTTTGTTTATTCTTTACAGGTCACAAATTGCCTTCCTAGACCTCTAGAAAACAATCATAAGTATATATATCTCTTATATTGATCTTATTAATAAATTTTATTTGGACAAGATAACTTGTGCCATCACCGTTTTTAACCAGTGTGACTAAAGACCACAACACTCCCAAGAGTGGTCACACACGGTATGCGATACGTACAGATAACGTACGTTCGGTATATGAAAAACTATACACGTGGGTATGTGTGCATTTATTTGACAGAGAGAGAGACGAGGAGAGAGGGAACACAAGCAGGGGGAGTGGGAGAGGGAGAAGCAGGCCTCCCGCTGAGCAGGGAGCCCGATGTGGGGCTCGATCCCAGGACCCTGGGATCATGACCTGAGCCGAAGGCAGACGCTTAACGACTGAGCCACCCAGGC